CTTGGCTTGACACATCCCAACCACAGTGGTTGTGAAGTCCCAGAATAGTGCCATTTTATTTCTACCTAAATGGCTCCTTCCCCATTTAGTGGTTTGCCATGTAACCTCCTTGCAGCAGTGCATGAGGAAAACCAAGTGTGAGGTCAGTTCAGCTGATGGAACTGGAAAACATGTTGCCACAGTCATCCTCAAGGAATAGAATACAGCCATTCTTCATAATTTATAAGCTTTGAGTGCTCTTACAATTGGGGAAAATTTGATGTCTTTAAGTATCTGAAGAGAATAAAAATTAAACAAACATTAACAGAAGTTTACTGAAAACTATGACCATTGAATAATTCGAGAAAATGCCTAGGTCTTAGTCAACACCAACATCACACAGCCCAGAACCTCATTACACAACACAAATACACAACTGTGACCTAATTTTGTGGGCAGTGAGAATGACTTTATAAAGAATGTATGCCCAGTTCATTTCAGTAATGACATATGTTCAAAATTAATAATTTATAAGAAATAAAACACAGTTGTTTGTTTCAATACTAATAGTATTTACTGAATGTTCAAAGAAGAAAATCCAATTAGCTCAGAGTGACAAACAAACACATCATCTTGCTCATAAGTACTTCGTCATGGAAACTGTACTCAGGAGCACAATATAACTTTGTAGGAAGACAGAATCTCTGAAATTCTTAACAAGCTATCTGAAGGAAAAATCAAATGTAAGCAGGAAATAGCTGCTTGTAAATTAAATTTCAGCAGCTCCAGACCACCAGCTCTTTAGCAAAAGAGAATGATATTCAACTTTCTGTAACTTACTCAGATCTTAGACTCAGGCGCTGGACATGGCAGCAGAGTAGGACCGGCACTAACAGTAGCCTAGCGTCTTCAGGCGTCCCTTGCCTCAGGAGGATAGCGGTGCCTTCCCTTATGGGGCTGCCGGACCTCTTCACGGCTCTGACAGGCAGAGGGGGAAACTAACAGTGGAAATGTGGCATAACTGAGATTTCTGGCTTCTTGCTTATGGAATGAACAGGACCACAGCCTCTTTTTTCAACCATGTGCATCACACCATGCCCAAGCTAATCAAGACCTGGGCTATTTTTTTTTCCAGAATTCAGACATGAGGACAGAGACAGGCTTCCCTTGCTGGACTGGTGTGGGGGAGGGGGGATGTCATATTGGAACACACAATGGGGGAAGACTGGAGAAATCGGTGATTTCATGTAAGAAAACTGTTGGCATCAAGGCAATAGAGCCTTTGTAGTACGTACACTCTGAAATCTTTTGCCAACATTTAAATAATTACTACAAAATCTGGATGAATGGGAAAATTACACATATTGGGAAAGAAAACACATCATTATAACAATAATGTAAGATATATGTTTGCATATGACAGATGGAGAAGCACATGGAAAAATGAAAATAGTTTTTTGTAAAGTGGGATTATGGGATAATCTTTTCTTTTTGTTTGATTACACTAGTACTACTATAATGTTTGTATAATAATATATTTTTCTAGTTTTATTGAGAAATAACTGATATGCTGCATTGTATAAGTCTAAGATGTACAGTATAATGATATGGCCTACATATACTGTGAAATGATTACCACAATAATATTTTTTAAGTCTTGCTGAAACATTCTTCAAAATGAGTAGATTTTATAAGGCTTAATGTTTCTCTGCTTTAATTATTTAAAAGGAGGTTTCCACTACTTCCTTTTAGATTTGAAGACATGTATCCTTAATGTCATTCACTGAATAGTCAAAAATATTACTTGTGCAGAATGAAATCTCAAGGCCAAAGTTGGAAAGTTAACTAGATCCAGTGTAAGGAAATTGAACATTGAAATTTTACCATTCAGACTTGATTCATATTTAGAGAAAACTGTATTTCATATGGACATTTATTCCAGTAATGTCATTTACAAGATCCCTGGAGACATGGATATTTGTACAGTGTGATGAGTTGTGAATGCCATGAATTTCCTGAAGACCATGCTTGCTGCTGACCATAGGTTGCCAGAACAACAGGCTGAAAACAGAAAACTCCAATTGGTGAATTGGCCGTTCAATACAGTTACTGGGTGAATACAGCCTATCACTATGAAATTTCTCCCCCCGAGTAAAATGAGCTGCCCTCAAACAGAGCTCCAGTCCAAAAATGAGGCTCACACCAGGAAGAGACTTCCTGGGATGGCCACAGCCAGGCAATAAATAGGAATGTGTTGAGTAGAGCTGTTTTCATGCAAGTGAAGATACCAGTCACACTCTCATCTTGTTAACAGCCTCAAAGAGAATTCTAGAGATGCTGGCTCTAAAGATTCAGTCACAGCCCCGGCATATGTTGAATATCCAACAAGTGTTAATTCCTTTCATCTCCACTCCATTCCCAACTACTGCCCCAGCCCCTCACCACCACCTCAATTACAGCAACTTCAAGGTTTCTTAATTAACGTTAGCCCTCTACAGTGTTTGATATGCTAATCAAAAAGCAGGCTAACCTGATACACTGGTGCAGGCTTTCTGGATCCAGGTCTGTAACTCTTGGGAGAGCTGCCCTGTCAGCCTCCTGCACAGGCACTGATGGGATGGATGATTTAGGGGCTGACCACCAGGCAGGACTCCCTGCCCCCAAACTATCATCCCCACTGCTAAGCTTGGTGCTCCAAACTATTCTAAGTTCCTTAGGGTCTATAATATTAGTCCAGTCTCCAGGAGACACATTTTTAAACAGCCCTGAGTTCTATCAACACCTGTAAAGCATGTCTTGAAGCTATAACTTCTCTCCATTTCCACTATTACCACCCTAGTCCAAGCACCACTACCATCTATTGCCTCAGCTATGGTAATAGCTTCCTAATCAGTCTCTCTTTTTCTCCACTTCCCATGAACCACTTACCACTGAGGCGGCAAGGCATGATTCACCGTGAGACCCCTGCTGAAGGCCTTCCAACAGCTTCCTGTTATACTTTCCCATGGGCTTCGAAGCCCCTTAGAAGATCCAGTCCTACCTACCTCTCTGAGCTCACCTCCTCCACTATGCCTTAACTCACCGCTCTGGCTACACGACCCTTTCTTCTATTCAAACATGGTGGCCAGCTCCTTGTCCTCCATGGACTTTTCTCTCTGATGTTGTGCCCCTAAACACATTCCCAGCCACTCTTCCTATTTTACTTCCCATATAGATGGATAACCATATTTGTTTGCTTATATTCTGTGCCCTCAACACACACACACGTCGTACATGCAGGTGCACATGCTCTGGAATGTGAGCCCTGTGAGGGTGGAAATCTTGCACATCTTATTGTTGCTGAATCTCCAGGGTCCAGAACAGGGCCTGGCACACAGCAGTGCTCAGAAAGGAATAATGTCACCCAATTTGTTGGCCCTTTCTTGGTTTTCAAATTGACCTCTATGACTTCCTTGATACCCCCCTCCTTAAGTAGCTTCTCACCAACCACGGCATCATCTCCTCCTCCTCCGGATAACCCCTGAAATGTAGTCATCCCCAGGGTTCTTTCTTTAGCCTTCTTTCTCTGGCATTCCCCTTCAGTCTCTTCCATTCTCATTGTTTCAACCATCACGTCTGAAGAGTCCCGGAATTCACATCAGCTCCCATTGCTCTCTATCTGCATTTATTGAGGATTTCTAATTGAACATGCCCATCGTTAAAATACCTTCTCAACCTGTACAGTATGCCCTTCAAGTTGACAGACTTCCTAGTCTCTATGAAAACAGTTCCATCATTATCCTAGCCGCATTTAATCCCTCCTTTGCCTGCCTCTCATCCAGCTTCCAGTTAGCTAAAAAATACTTCCTCCTCCGTTCCTTTGCAAAATCTCAAATTCCATCCCACACTCTTCAAGCCTTTTGCCATTACCCTAGTGATGGGTCTAAACTGAATAGGCTCATATTCTACCTCACAGAAAATCAACACAGGACAAGCACTACCGCACCATCTAGCTCAACTCCCATACTTCACAGACAAGGAAAAGGAGGGCCACCCTGGTTAACTACCTTGGCTACAATGGCCCTAGGTAAGTGCTAACCATAGTGCCAGAACTAGAGCTCAGTCTTCAGGATGGCACCCTTCTATGGTCTGTGGGAAACATGGCCTATTAATGCCAGCCAAGGAGAAAGGGAGAGCTGGGTGGGTACTGCAGAAAAGCCTGAGAGAGAAGAGAAGCGGAGGACACTGAAGACACACACTTTGTTGACTTCATGCCGCCCCTGAATAGGGCTACATCTTGAATGAATCCTTGGAGTTGTCACTATTTGTTTGCCCCCTGGGAATGCCAGCAAAATGAAACAATCAAAGAAAACAGCAGCCAGCCAGGCAGGACAAAAGTCAGCCCTGCTGTCCATGGGTCCCCAGTGCACCCCACACATGCGTGCACACAGCCCTTAGATTTCCCACATTCCCTGGGAAGATCGGGGGTGGACATGCTGTAAGAGGGCCCCTGTGGAAGCAGCACCGTGGAGTCCAGGCCGTCCTCAGGTGTCAAGGGGCAATGCACGTGTTTTAAGAGGGGATGTGCTGGGGGATTCCTCACACCAGGAGCCTCTAAGGAGGGGACAGTGGAGAATTGGTTCGCGAAGGACTTTTACTGAGATGTACACGTCAGCAAATTGCTGATTATCCTTTCCCAATTAGAAATGACTGCTTTATTTTAAAATTTAACTCCAAACTTTGATTTTATAGAGGAAAACAAAGAGTTAATGATGAAATAAAAGTCCTAAAACAGCAGCAGGAAAGAATTGAAAAGGAGCTTCATAGGTTTGTTTCTTATTCAACTTTATAGTGCTTAAAAACATTTTAATGGAACAAATGTGTTACATAAAAGTACAATGTGTTTATTATGTAAAAATACATTAACCCAATATCTGCAAAGAGATTTTCCACTGAACAGTTCATCCGGAGTAACCTTTAACTTTTCTTTATCCATATAATCACCTTCTCTACTAATTTAATTGCTAAACATTACCATCATCTCCTTTTACTCCTCCAGCCAGAGGACTTAAGCTGAACACCTTTTAAAACATAAACCCATAACCCTACCCCGCCCTAGGGAAGATGTGAACTAGAATATAAACCTATTTAGCTGGTCTCTCCTGGGCTAGTTCTTTGTTCCCCTTCTGCCCTCTGCGTACAAACATGTCCCCCACTAAAGTAAGGCAAATTGGGCTCATTTAATTTGTTTATTTTATTAATTAGAGTATAAAAAGGAAAGCTATAAAGTATTGAGGCTAATCCACTTCTTCCAACACATCCACATGTGCAAGAACAAGTATCAGATGAGTGCAGCCCTTCAAACAAGCCGTGGGTGGAGCACCACTTGCGCCAGTCACGCTGCCTGCTTCCCTTCCTATTCTGAAACTTCCAAAGCCAGTTTCCCAGTCACATGAGACAATGCAGCCCATTATTTTAGAATTTTATGTCACTTTCCGCCGAAGATCTTACACCCAGCTCTCCCGTTCACAACACCTAAAGTCTGATTCCAGGTGACTTTCACAAGTTCCCCCAAATCAAGTCTACACGGGATAGGATTTCTCACCACTGAGGATATTCAGGAAAACGTAGAGTTCTCAGAGCAACTCAGAAAAAGCATTCAAATATGTTTTATGCAATGGCACATTGCTGGAGAAAATGAATGGAAAAATACTCATTTGGATACTTAAATATCCCATGTGCCTGCTAAATCTACGGGCATAGCACAAGTTTCCACCTGTAATCTTCAAAAAAGAGATACTCATGGAGAGGAAAATCTATCAAAAAGATGGGGGATTAGGTATTGGTGTTGGTTGTAAAACTGAATATACTAAAAATCCACTGAGTTGTACACTTTAAAAGGGTGTATTTTTATGGTGCATGACATGTCTCAGTGAAGCTTTTAAAAAGGAAAAAAGGGAAGGAGACTGTAAATTAAAAAAGCAAGTTGGAGGATGGGTTTATTTTAAGGAAGTGAGATGAACCAGAGTCTGAGGATGACTTGTGAGTGCAGGGGGTCACGGGGAAGGGCACTGGAGAGATTCCAGAGTGTGTTTAAATAGGACTCTGAGAAAGACACCCAAACTGTAAGGCCAGATATGAGAAAAGCAGGGAAAGACAGACCCAGAAGATGATAAGAAGTGAAGAGAACATCCAGGTTGAAGAGAGAAAACTGGCAGAGATAAAGGAGGGAAATGAAGAGGAGGCACCTGTCAGTCACGGAGCACTAGCTCACGTGACCCTAGGAGGCAGCCCTGTGTGTCCTCAAGAGAGCACTAGGCTCGATGCTAAGGAGACCGGACAGTAGGTTTGCAAGGGGGGGTCGGCTAATGCAGATGTTATACTTCAGCAAAGTATATTTGGTATTTTCAGAAAATTTTACTTCCTACAAATTTCATGGAAGAAAAATAATTTTTAAATGTTTCATTTGAAAATTGCCAGTGAAATTGACAGCTTTATAATACCCTTTTCATTTTTCTTTCTCTCAGTCTGTCTTCCTCTTGCTAATATTCTCCCTTGTCCCGAGTCCCTACCTGTCCTTCCCTAGCCTGCCTCTGCCTCTCCCCTCGTCCACAGATCTCTGAAAGGTTCTACCGCCTCCTGAACTCAACTGTACAACTCCTGCAGGAAGACTTCTTGAATGAGTATTTGGTGACAGAACTCATGGTAGGTAGATTTCTGATTCCTTCCCTCAATGGGCTTACAGCCTCGTAAGCACCCTCACACTCTGGCCTTTCCTTCCCTCTCTCCCCCGACCAGATCCTTCCCCTGCCAGTCCCTTTTACTCTTCTGTCCCCTCTGACAATCTCTGAAGTGTGTGCTGAAGCCAGGCAAGTGGAATCAGTTAAGGGAAAACTGTGTGAACCATCTCACTGAAGAGGATGCTTCACCGGGGATACATGTCACATGTGAGCTGGACCAGAAGGCTCACGTCACACTGCTTGGGTTCAAATCCTCTGTTGCTAGCTGTAGGACTGTAGGCAGGTTACTTAACCTATCTGGGCCTATTTCCTTATTTAAAATGTAGGATAATAATAGTATCTACTTCACAAGACTTGTTGTGAGATTATTGTCGGGAGTATGTAAAATGCTGGCAAATGCCCAGTGTATTAAACTTATCATAAATGTTGACTCTTAGTTGGTGTCAGTACAACAGTTTGATTACTGATTTTCTTTATTCAATGATTAGACTCCAAGTAAAGGCTACCAAGAAACCATATGAAGTTGGGAATGACTTTGAGGAGTTCCTACATGGAATGGTATGTTTCCTTTTTGAAAATAATTGAGAATTCTCTCTCTAGCTTCTCCTCTATAGACTGGACTTATATTTAATAAGCAAGATATGGTTTCACATCCAAGTTACAGTGGCAGGATACAATACATTCTTGTTATTCAGCCATCCACATGCCCATTTAGGAAAATCTCTATTTTACATATTAGTGATAACTTCATGCTCACTTATATCCCATCCCTTTCTTCTCACCAGGGACAGTTATATAACATCCAAATGCAGTGAGAATTTCAAACTAATAGAAAATTATTGGTGTCTGAAGTCACAGTTTATTTATGGCTAATAACTCAATAAGAATGTATTGAATTCTGATAACTAGGTTAGATGAATGGTCCCTGCTCTCAATTAACTGAAACATAAGACAGAAATGATAAGGTTCTAAACAGGATTCAAGCATGAGAAAGACAAGAAAAGAGGGGAGACTGTCCCTTTTTTCTAGTTTTCTTTGTCCTCTCTTCTTCTGCTCCTCAACTTATGGGCAGGTGAGAATAGTGTACAATAAAGATGAAGGCTGGACAATCTGAGGTCAGGAATAGGAGAGAGCTCTTTCTTTTCAGCCTATCAGGCTTCTACTCAATAATCAAGAGCAATCCTTATTGGCCACAGGTGTAATGTCAAAACCCAAGGTCAAGTAATCTAATCAGATTCCTGTATCAACTAGAAAGGAATAAAACTAACATTAAACAGGACTATTCTTTACTTCCATAAAAGAAAATTTTTTGTCCCATTTTTCTTGGTGTCTCTTAACTACTACTGCTAGAGACATGGGTACAGAGAATTATTCATTTAGTGTAAGAAAACACCTGTGCAAGTGTGCTGGTAAAGGGCAAGTGATGTCAGCAGGTAAATGGTAAATGGCTGAGTATCAGGGAAACTCCTCGGAGTAGTGGAAACTGTACCGCGTGGGAGAGTCCAGGCCCCATCTAAGCAAGGCAGCTACCACCTCAAGTCTAGGCCGTCGCCACCCTGTGGGAATGGAGGCCACTGTGTGACCACATCGCCCACCATCAGTGATCCAGATTCTTCTGTAAAACTCCTGATTAGGACCCTAAATTTTTAAATGCTCTGGGAGCAAAATTAAATATATCTATAGACCAGATGTAGCCTATTAGCTGCTGATTTGCAACCCCTGGTCTAAATGCTGGACTTGGAGCTCTTCAAAAGCTGGCTCCTGCCAGTATGGCCAATCTTATTCTCCACAATATCCTAAGGCAGACCCTTCACTCCCACTGAGCCTTCTGAACACAGCACGTTCACCCAGGCTCAAACTTTGCTCATCTACAATGCCTATTCCCAAGTTTTCCAATTCTACTTTTCCTCTAGGGCCCCGCTTAAGTTCCATCTTCTACATGAAACATTTTTCCAGTTTCCCTAGTCCCATCCTTTCCAAAATAGTTTGATATCTCTCATAATTTCTAGAATAACACTGGGTGATGGTTTGACCGAAAAAATAGTTCTTTTCTTCAAGCCAGACATCAAGACAAATATGAAGTAGATCCCTGGATTAGAACCACAGTGTCTTCCAAAGCAGAGCACACACTGTAAATTTTTACTCACGTATTGTACAGATGGAATCTCATAGTGAAAAATTTAAATAGAATACCAAGGCAATGGCAAGTGCCCTTTTCTTTTTTTTAATGGTAATCCAAGTGTCCCTAAAGAGTTATTTACATATGACAGATCTTTTGTGAAAAATGGAAAGGTACTAAAAAACACAGGAGTTAATTTTAAGTCAATTCAGATTTTGGATTATTTGGTTTATAAAACAATTTTTTTTAAACAAAATTTGACTTAAGTTTTCTCAAGCATTTATCCTTCTGGAAAGAATGATGCAGCACCAAAAGTTTATTTCAGAACAGGATAATATAGATTTCCTAGTACTTTATATGTGACTGTTGTCCTTTGAGAAATATTACAACCAGCTTCACCTGAGCCTCTCTAAAACTGAGATTCAAGATGATGATGTCTGATCTTTAAGTTGCACATTAATGAGCAAAAACAATCATAGAATAATAGAAAACTGTGATAATTTTCTGGATAATTCATGCCATAAAACCACTGCTGTTTCAATTTCTGATTACATCAGCAAAATGTTTTTTGGTCTAGATCTTCATATACAGCATTATGTATAGTGTATCCATGAGAGAAAGCCATTCATTTACCATCAGGAAATGGACAAACACTTCTGCCCACTTTTCGTAACATATATAGGCACCCAACAACACCCCTCCCATCCCAGAACCCACTCTAAGCCATTTCCTACCGTCATCCACATACCTGCATACCTGGCCTACAGGTATGCTAGACACACAACAAAGGAAAGCAAGGGATGCGTGGAACAGTAAGCACGTCTTCTGGATTAGAGAGGCATTTGAGAAAAGATAGCATAGAGTGTAAAGAAAGTAAATTTCATGAACAAACTGAATTACCTGAATTATCATTCAGATGATGATCTATTTCAATGTGAATGGAGATAAAGACTTAAAGTGTCTTTTATCTAAATTTCTCCAATAAGTGACAGAAAAAGCTCAGGGCCAAAAGAATTGAAAGCAATTGTTTATGTGATATCACATGGTTAACAAAAATTTGATGAACCTAGGATTTTCTTCTGAAATCCATCTTTTGCAAAAAAAAGTATTTTTAATTAAGTGATCCTTCTTGTCTTGATAACTGGGGAAATCAACATTTAAGTATACTAGGTCCAGGAAAACCTGTGAATCTTTAATAATGTATTATTTTAATAGCATTCTGAAGCTTGAATCAAGAAAGAATTTCCAGCATCACTATCATCATGATTATCAACAGAAGACTATGACTTTGAGGAAGAAGAATGCCAAGAGAAACCAGAAATAAACTGTACTTAAGAATATTACATACAGTTCAATTGGAGCCATTTAATTGTAGCAGTATGTTTAATTCAAGTCCCATCCATGAGGTCAGTATTGAGTCAGTCTTTTACCATTCATCTTTAAAAATCTTAAAATCAATAAATCTCAGTAAATCATCTTTAGGAGATCTGTCCAAGCATAATTTTGGCTCTTACTGGTAGAAAACATATTTTAAGATGGAAAAATCATCATTATGAAGCATAGAGAGCTTTCAGCCATTTCTTTGGAAATACATCTTGATAATAGCAACCGTTCATCATAACATAAAACAGAAAAAGGATTAATTTACTGTGGCATAAGAAGTTCTGCCAGTTCCTAAATGCCCTATAGTTTCTCTGAGATTTTTTACATTGTTTAGGCCTCAAGGAAAACCAAAGCCCCACCTCCTGGCTTGGTAGCAAACAACCTCTGCTCCTCAGGCACTAAGCTCCGGGCGCTCTGCTGGTAGTATGCTTCGTGCACGTTTGCTAGGAAGCTGGGCAGCTTGTCCGCAGGGACTATTGATACCGTGCAGCCTCCCCATCCTGCTCCAGTAAGTCGTGACCCTGGAGCCCCAAACTTCCTAAAATGAGGAGGAAAAAAATTAGAACCTGTAAATGAAAATAAGAATGATTTACCTGGTGCTTACAGAACCCACAGCCTACCCAAGTTCTAAGAAGAGACTATCTGTTATTGGTTTGTAGGATTTTTTTCCAGTGTTGCCAAACGTTTTAGGACATTAAGAAATGTATAGTGTTTCAGAAAGTAATTTGAATTTTAATTGTAGCTAAAAGTAGCCCTACGTAGTAAAACTAGTCCTAAGGAGTAAAAGTTAGCAGTGTTCCTGCTGCATGAGAGCTAGCAATAACCGCTGGGGTCTTTGATTCCATAAAGTCACCACTTGAAAAATTGTATAGCAAGCCTGCAGGACATCAAAAGGAGAGAGTAAAAAGAAAACAAACAAAGGACATGATCAACATTAGGAATCAGAAAGTGGCTCCAAACAAGGGCAAATCAGAATTCAAAGTGCAAGTCTTACACAAGCGAGAGCTTCCTCCAGTACTTACTCAAACTGCATTCTTAAGGTGTGGCTGGCTATTCCGTATAAAAGAGGCAGGCTCTTAGAACAGAGAGCCTAGATTTGTTCTAAGCCAAGAACACGCTGTTAAACTCTAGATCAGTCTGTCTGTTCTAATGAGAAATTATGCAGACTCTGCACAAAGAGGATGGCAGCCTCTACAGGTTCATACCCACCTTCCCTTCACCTTCGGGAGCTGGCCTGACAACTGGACTCAGAATTTACCATCAGACAAACTGTGCAATTGGGATGGAAACTACTATATAAACCACCACCCAGCAAGAGGTTAATTTTAATCACCATCAAGCAGGCACAGTTTCAAACCTAAGATTTGTACCAAAGTGAGGGGCCCTACACAGAGGACAAAGATCGCTCATCTTTAGAAGATATAATTTATCCTGACAATAAAAGTTAAAATACTTTCAATTCTTCCTAATAAAATTTCCTCCAAATTCACCGCAGTTTAAAAACTCTGTAATTAATATAGTGCAGTTTTGTCCCCTTTTTCTACCTAAATGAGCTACTTTACTTCTGGAAAATATCAGTAGAATATTTATCCCTACTCTAGGACATCAGAATTATTGCACACCAGTAATTCATTTTCCCCTCAATGATTTTCTCCACTGATTTCCTTACATCATCTGTTTTATTCATTTAAATATGCTTTTCAAATAAGAATAGATACTTAGGGTGAAACAAAAATGCTCGCAAATAAATAAAGATTACTCATCTTCTCCTGTCCCTCAAATATACAGCTACGGCCCAGAAGCAGAACTGGGCCCAGACTCCTATTACTCAGACTCTGGGATTATATAAGATTACACTGACTTCCTAGCTGGCAAAGGGCCAGCTAGCAATCTGGTGATTTCAAAAAAAAAGCTGTCATATGCAGTCACATCAAACTATCTCTCTTTGTAGAAGATGCTGAGAAAAACTGAGGTGTGATTGAATTATGTCTCGAAGACCCTGACATTTGGATATCAAAGCCAACTGTTTGCATGGTCTGCAGAAGAACAGCGTGCCTCTTACTTGGCCTTCTAAGACTCAACTATACCATTTTGCTGTTAGGTATATTTTCTTACCCTTTCTCATTTGAACAATTTTTGAAAGCTGTGGTTTCAAAACTGAACCTAAAACAAATGGAGAGTATTGTTTCTAACTGGCTGAAAAACCCATAGGAATTGTGCCAGAGGGCCTATTTCCCTGAGAATCTTGCCGGTTTTCCAAAGAGCAAAAACTGGAAGTCTTTCTAGGTGAATACATTTACTTGTGAGTCTCCAGAGCTGTTCTGTCACCACCTTGCCTGCCGAAGATGAAAATGGATGGGCTGCATCAACATGATCTGAAATTTCCCAAAGACAGAATGATAAGTACTATTATGAATAGCCTTCTGCCCTGAGTCAATGGCACGGGGTATCACTAAGCAGTAGGCTGCCCCAGCAGGGGTTAGCAACCCACCCAACTACCCACAAAGGCAGAAAGGTCCTGCCTGCAGTGCTCCCCACTTGTGCTTAATACGCCCTTTGGTGCATGCCACAGAAAGGCTAAGAGAGACCCAAAAGTTAGAACACCAACATAAACTTTATATTAAGAAAGACAAGTAGGTATGCTAAGGGTATTTAGTGAATTTTCCCCATGCATTTTTTTTCTTGGAGAACAGTGAGATAAGACATTAAAAATAAAGTTCCTGAGCTAATACACATCTTAGAGACAATATAAGAATTATGAAAACCAAACCCTAAAATTTCCCAATATCACCTTGGTGATTGTGGTGACTGGGTTGGGAATAATGTGGAAGGATTGGTCAAAACAACAAAAGCAGTCTCTGCCTAATAAAGCATGATCTACAAAACAGAGGCTATGGCAGGTGACAGATGGAGAATTATAAAGAATGTTCCTTTGATCCTTTTATCACTGAGAAGTGCGTTCATGTCAGTAATTTTCCAGGCACCCAAAATAGCCTGACTAAAATTTTCTACTTTTAAATGGATTTATTGATCATAGAGCACTTACTATGGTACAAGGCACAGAACAATGTGTGTGTGTGGCAGGGGGGACCCAGTAAGATTCATGTCTTCTACAGACTGTAAAGAGGGAAAGCACGGAATTGTGCCTTGCATTTCAATTCAATTTTATTTATTTCAAAATCAATAAAATATTTTATAAATATAAAAAATAAATGGGTGTTATACAAATGGATATTAAATTAATTATTTCAGAAAATCTTGAATTTTCAGAAAATCTTGGATTCAGACACAGGTTCTATCTGTCTAATCCAAGCCAAGCACAATTCTAGGTATTTAGTAGATTCTAATAAATGGCTGCTGGATTATATTTGTTTTAAAACATCAAAATATATACTTATGGTTTTACTTTTTTATTAATGTTAAAACACTTCAGTTATGTAAAACCAAGTATAGCAATAAATAAAAAGATGAAGCTTGCCCAATTTTAAGATACCTCTCTAAAATGAACAAAATGTAAATTTTAAGAAATGGCTCAATTTTAAAGTAGAAAAATTTAAACAACTTTATATTTGAGATAGCTCATATGTATATGTTACATATAAGCTGTCAGCAATGTATTCTTTACCTGGTAAACTTCTGGCTTCTGCTCTGAAGTCTAGATTCTTCTGGCTAGATTCTCAGGAAAATAGACCTTCCAGAATAATTTCTATGATTTTTAAAGCCAGGTTAGAAACACTTTCAGATTGCTTTAGTTTCAAGAAACCAGACTTCAAATACTGCTCAAATGAGAAAATATAAGAAAATGAGTACAAATTTATTTTAGAAATACAAACCACTAAATGTCATTGAAGACAAGTTGGTTTGGTTCCAGCAAATGGCATATATAATTTTTGGAGGGGGGAACAATAACTGGAATACAGAGGCCCAAAGATAAGTGAGCCCCTAAAGGCAGCCAAAATGGTGCTGTCCCTTTTTCTTGGCAGGGTGTACAGATTAACCCTTAAAATCCTGGGCAAAAGAGCACACAGATACGAATTTGCGTTTCAGTTTTCCCCACTCTGACCTGGTCAGGAGCATGGGTGGGTACAAGAGGCTAAGCAGCACAGCCATGCAATAAAAAAGATAACAAAGAAAACATTAATTACATAAGTAGCTTAAGGACCAGACAACCATTCTGACCAAAATATGCAATGTGCCAAAGGTAATCTTTCAATATGGGAAACTCAGTCCCTATATGATTATAGCAAAAGTGGAAATTAATTTTGATACTTAGCAACTGACTTTCCAAACAAAAACAACCATAAAAAAGGGAGTGAGCTCCTTATACTAGACACAACTGAATTTTCCTCATTAAAGCAATACAGCAGATGAAAACAGGCTAGACAGAAAACACTTCAGCTGCCATTAAGAAAGGAGTTTCCAAGAACAAATCAATGAAGGTGCTTTCCCAAACCCTTATAAGACATAGCCACTGAATCTTCCACTAGGACCATATTTCTAAAAACTTATAGACCTATAGACTGCTAGAATGGAAAAACACACTGGAGTTCATAAAGCAAGGCAATAGTACAAAGTCACAGAGCTCAGAATGAAATGGGGGAGAGCTAGAACTCATCCTTCCTAACTTCCAAGCCAGTTTTCATCCTAGTCCGTGCTGCCTATCTACATGGCTGTGTTCCATGTTCAAATACTGCACGTTATGACAGCCAAAGCCTCCATTATTTAAACTCTAAAGCAAGGAGAGGAAAATATGTAAAAATGGCCCACATTCCAATGTAATCACATCTCAGTATAACCACGGGAAGGGGAGAGAGAAAGGTGTGGCAAAACCTGGATTGGGAGCTCCGCTTTCCCATGGACTCCTTAGATGTTGACTTGCTCAACTCACTTAATGTCTCAACATTCTCAGATCTAAGGCCCCTTCCTATGCTTATATCTTATGGTACCATAAGACAATTCTGACCCAGAAATGTGACTTCTGCCTTCCAAAAGTGTGGCTTTTGCAGAAGCAAGGAAATTTTCTCAGGCCCAAATCCCAGAGGTCATCTTGATTTCTTCTCTTTCACCCACACCGCAACTGTCTCGAATTTCCCTCCAAGGCATATCTGACAGCCCATCGCAGAGCACAGACCTGCCAGTGGCCATCAGGGCCCACGCAGTATGGCTCCCACTACCTCTCTTACTTCATCTCTCCTTCCCTTACTGCCCCCTCACTGCACTTTTCTCACCATTCCTCACACCTGACAGTCACACATCTGCCTCAGGGTCTGTGCACTTGCTGTTCTCATTTCTCCACTTCCTTTAGGTCTCTGCTCAAATATCATCTCCATAGAGAAGCCTACTTCAACTGTTCCATTTAAAGATTGCCCACCCAACCCTGGTGCTTTCTATTCCTTCTTTTTTAAAGCACCTAACACTACCACTCAAATTAATTTTTAACTGTCACTTCCCTCTTTTCCATATGAGAATGTGAACTCCATAAGATCAAGAGCTGGTTGACCATTCCGGGGAAAGAAGCTCATTAGAGAATTCCAGGAGGCTGGCAAATGCCCCTCCGTTGCTTTTCAGGTGACATTTAAACTATCTCACTACCTTCCAGGCAAAGACCTCTTCCTGATTTCTGCCCAAGTCATTCTACTTTCTCTTATTTCCAGAACAGAACAGAATTTGTCCCTTCCATTTACTGGGCCCTTGATATTTTCAGAGAAGAGCTCTTATAATGAAACAAGCTCTGAAAGGCTTTTTGGCAATTAGCGAGCAAACTCCGGCTTCAGCAGAGTGATTCTCATCAATGCTATTGAAGTCTCTTGACACGTTGGGTTCCACATGCCATTTGTGATCACTGGAACTACTTGGTTTAAACTTTTTAGGCTGGGAGTGTGGCAATGAGTAAGGCAAACCATAGGCACCAAGTGGTTGATTATATTTTCATTACTAAACTGCAGACAGTTCTGTATTATCTTCTCACAGAGGAAATAACATCTAGCCTCATTTGGGAGTTCTCCCAATTTCCCTTGAAGTTCTCTCAAGGTCAATGAGATCCCTTCTGGGTAAAGGGATCATTCTACTCTTATTATCCCCATTCTCTAGCAATTATAAAGCAGTTGTTTCAGACTTTGTGAGAGGTTTTCCCTCTATATTTCTGTCTCAACCAATCATTTATAAACTGGGCTTCCCTTAGCCCTCATTTTCCCAAACCGCTTCACCTAAACCTGAAGGTGGGAAATCCTGGCTTTCTGAGGCAATTCTTCCCCCACCTCTTCAATACACTACTGTCAGGCTATCCATTTTCTCCCTTCTTTTGAATAAAACTACTAAACTTAGGACACCGAAGAGGAGGTACTGTCAAAGCCATAGCGTAGTGGACACCATTGATTAAAACATTGTAAGAAAGTAACAACAGTGTCCACACCTGAGAAAAGCTCCAATCGGTGCTAATCATCCAAAGAGCGAAGTCTTTCTTGTGATATTGTGATGAACTGTCTCCAAGCCTGGAGCCTCATAGAGCCATGGAGTCAGGTCTCCAGTCTTTCTTCTACAGGTATTTAGGAGGGAACAAGTTCAGCTCTATACACAGACAGCCCCTCATGTAGGAAGTGGGAAAGGATCTTCTTTCACTTAGAAGACTATGAAAATGTTATGCCATCTTTCATTCACTCAGTTTCTCTTCCCAGCCCCCACCGTGCCACTCTCTCAGCCTCACCGACAGATGTCCACGAGCTGGTCCAGCTCTGGGCAGCTGCACTCATACATGTCCCGGCAGCTCGCGTGGCTCTGGTTCATTAACTCCCCCAGCAGCGGGACCATGTCATCAGGCGCTTCCTCACACATCTTCTTAAACTGGAGCACTCGTGCAGCCTCGCTGTACACGTGCTTGGCCCGCTGGCACAGTTTGAAGATGAGCACTTAGGAAGGAAGGTGACGGGGAACACAGTGAGAAAAATTTGCTGGACAACCCAGTGCAAAAAAAACAGTTACTGAGGACTTCCATTTCTGCTGAGGACTTCCGTTTCTGTCTTCATTACCAGTATCTTAGACTTTAAGTAGGTCTCTCAACTGAGAAATCCTTATAGTCTAAGATGGTCTCTTTTCAAGTCAATTTGACTTTTTTCTTGATACTGAAGATAATCAGGTATATTTTCTTCACTTCATTCAGCACACCCAGACATGTGCACACACATGCATGCCAATTGACTCACCCATAGGTAACATGTATTGAGCACTCCCTGTTTCAGGTACTTTAAAGGCACCGTCTCATAGAGGGTTTATCACAGCACTGGGGGATGCACAGTATGATCCCTGTGTAACAAATAGGGAATGAGGCTCAGCCAGCGAAGTAATGTGCCTATGGCCAGAAGCAGAAAAGATCAGGATGTCTGACCCCAGTGCCACTCTTTTCACTGTGCCTATCAGAAGAGGGCCACTGAAAATGCTTATGCTGACAATTCTATTGATAAAAATGTACCCAAGAGATAAGCACAATTATTTATAGGCATATAGATAACTGCAGCATTATTTATCATAGCAGAAGATAAGAAATAATCCAACAATCCAATCATCTAATATTAGGAGACATTTAAAAAATAATGCTATATTCATTTTAAAAAATTACTGCTAGCACCAAACATTAACAGTTAACATCCACAGCAAGAACTCCATGCACAGCCCCATCATCTGGTCCCTGTTCAACACAAGCTTCATGAGGTGCAGCTGGCTGGGCTTCACGGCATTCACCAGTTCATGAAGTGTAGGGACTGGAAGACAGTGGGTGATGTGTTTGGGGCCCACAGCTCTGCTTCCACCGCCAAGCACCTGAACTTCTGGGTCTCTTGATCATTATGTTCCTCTCTATGGTACATAATGGTTATTTTCTCCTTGACACACTTCAGTACTTTCCAGATTATCTACAATGACTCTAACTTCAGTTAAAGAAAAGTGCTACTGCAATGGCTGGGTCTATAATGTTTACACATTGCCTTGAATAACAACTGAGACCTCCTTACCATTTTTGCCCATGCTGAACCATGGCTGAGTTGGTGCAGTGGGCATGGGAAAGTTTTGGAAAATATGTGGAAGCTATCTAGCCTACTGGAAAGAGTGAGGAATGAGAATCAAAAGGCCTGTCATTTCTCCTCAGCTTTGTGGCAATTAGTTGTACCCAAGTTGCTACCTCGACAGACTCCACTGCCCCATCTCTAAAATGAGGTTCAGAATTGCTTCTCAGGATCCTTCCAGCTCTACATTTTAAGATTCTATTGCAACAAGTATCCTCCCACATTGTTACATTTTGTAGAGGATGCTCTGACTGTTAGCTTCTGTTTTCACCCCCAGTTCTACTCTCTGCTCTCTGCACCCACCATCTGCCCCAGGAGGCTTTCCTGTATAAGGTGTCCTTGTTCTCTAGATTGGAGAAAGGGAGAAGGTCAGCAAGAATGGGAGGGAAGAGACTGAGGTGAGAGATGCATTCCCCAGCTCCCTCCTTGCAGAGCCATCGGGCGCGTGCTCGGCCCTGCACTGAAGGACAGTGAACATCCTTCTGAGGTGGGCTTTTCCACATGACTCGCTCCTTCAGGGTCTGCCCCACGCTCCTCTCCCCTAGGCTATTACTGCTTTTTCAGGAGTGCTTTTAGATTCCACTTATGAATCAGTAGATTCTTTTGATGTTTCAGGTTACATTTTTTTACCCTCCACAGCACTGTCCCCCTAACTCTTGGAGATGGATAAAAAAGGCAGCCAGGGCCAGAAGAAGTGACTAGTCATCCTGAGCATTTGTGTAAAAGTCTAATAATTAGAAGGATGGGACTAACTTTCCTATAAATTCATAAAGAATTAAAAGTTTTCTCTCAAAGGTTCTCAATTGAGTCATATCAGGTATATTAAATTTACAGTTAACTCCTTTCATCAGTGAAATGATGCAAATTCCCATGAATTTTCCTGTTCTCTTGCAGAGGACCTAAATTCAGTCACCAAATCTTATTGGTTCTTCTTTTACACTGTGTTTTGTAATCACCCCTCCCTTTTGTTCCCACTGTTATTACCCAAATTTACACTTTTACTCCCTTTCCCACTTGAACGATTTTGCAGTGATGTCTATACTGATATTCCTGCCTTCATCTCTCTTCCTTGCAACCTACCTGAGGTCAACACTGTCAAACTGAGCTCCTAACACACAGCTTTATTCACGTTACTGCCCCAAACCTTCACTGCTTCCTCAGGGTTTACAATAATCCAAATTCCTGCATTTAACATGTTCAGTCCCAATAGGACTCTTCCCTTCAGCCACACTGGCATATGGTAGTTACACAAACACACCTTGCTTCTGGGTATACACACCCATTAGTCCACACAGAAAGAGTTTCTTGCCCTTCCTCTCCCTGTCAAAATTTTACCTCTTTCTGAAGGCTCAGTTTAAGTTTTATATGCTCCATGAAGCTATGATGGCCCCAGCTGGAAACACTCTCTTGACTCTGAATCTGTACCACACTCACAGTACATGGCACTCATTTGGTGCTTATCATACACTTTCTGCAGTAATTGTTTCTCCTGTCTCTGCAGAGTTTACCAACTGCTGAAGACAAAACCAGGTCTGGTTCCATGCATTTCACCACTACAACCTTTCACCCCATGGACCTTCAACAGTGCCTCACATGATAGGAGCTCAATGGATGTTCTCTGTGGATGATGATATGATTAGGACTTTATTTTCAACCCCAGTACAAAATCAAGATACCTCCATATATATAGGCATTGTTGTTGTTTTTAAAAAAATGAGGTCCCAGTATTGCAGCTTACTCAAGTATTGAGGCTGAGGAAAGGGGACATCAGGATTCCCTTTGCTTTGAATCTGTAGCTGCTGATACCAAGTATAGATGAAAAATAAGGAAAAAGAGAACTTCCAGGTGAAATGTAGGTGGGAATAAAGACACAACAACATGTTTTGTTCATCAGTAGCCAGGAGGTAAGAATCAGCACATGCTGCAATGTGAATTTGTTATTTCCATAAAGAAGTTCAATGAAAATGGGAAAATGATTTATTTTAGGATCTGGGTATCAAAATATCCCAAAATAAGAAAGTCTTACCAATACCCAACACTGGCATATACCTTTGGCAAAATCACACCATTTAAAGAAACAGCACAGGTAGATTTAACAATAACAACTCAATATCTCTGAACAGAGAAGGAAAAGGATGGGCCATTGATTGACATGCAGTACCAATAATTTTATGTATGTTAATATAATCCAGGTTCTAGAATATACATTTTGAAAGGACAGAAAATGACTTTGGTAACTATAGTTTTAAGATTATTGTTGTTTTTAATTGAGGTTACTAGCTTTAGGAGTCCATATGGTTCAGTTTTACTTCTGAACTATTTCCTATAATCATAGGCCAAGTTATAAAATCAGAGCATGGAGGGTAAGGAGAGAATATTCATTTTTACTGTAATGTCACATTTACATAGAAATCATCTAGTTTCCAGGTGCACTGTTATTATAGCTGCAACACAAAAGGCACAATAAAACAATATCCACTACAATCCTACAATAGCGTGACTTAGCTGGCAAATTACTTTACAATGCTCTGACGTGCAAAGATTTGTTTTAAGCTTTGAGTTATGAAGATGCTCAAATATAAAGGACAGTGGAGAAAGCACTATAGTAAACACCATAAGCCCATCACCTAGATTGAACAATTATCAACATTGTGCTATAGTTGCTTCAATTGACATTTTGCTGAAGTATTTTAAAATACAGATGTGATGTTTCATCCCTATGTATTTGGTTGTTCATCTCTATAAAATAAGGATAATTTTTTATATAACAGCCATATCATTCTCACATCTAACATAATTACCAATGATTCTGTAATATCATCTCATATTCAGTCCATATTTAAATTTTCCCAGTTGTCATTTAAATTTCAGTTGATTTACACCAGGATCCACAGTCCACACATTCCATTCCATTGTTATATCTAATAAATCTCTCTTAACCAAGAATTTAGTGATTTTTGATACTCTGGATTCTCAATGATATATATATGTAAAACATAAGCATATTTTAAGGCCATATCCTGTGATAAAACTCCATGTAGTCCATTAGGGAGAGTACGCTTTGATTTTCCTTTCAGATTAAATGTTTTACTTTAGGATTAAATATCCTCAAGTAGAAAGTGCTCCAAGAGATGATTTAGATTGACCTTTGGGACTGGTGCTTTGATTTATGACAAAAAACTCAGATGCACCAAGCAGATTATCAGAACCTCACAAACCTGACACTCTCTTGTATCTATTCTCTATTGAAGAGGGTTTCACAGCAAGAATTCTGAACAGGAATGCCTAATGAGGGCTTTCGCTGAGCCCTCTGAAGGTGCATGAGAGATTGCCACGGCTTACACACCAAGAACGGTAGTGACTCAGACAACAAGGGAAGGGCAGGAAGGGCATCTGTTTCCAATTGTGATATAAAAATCCTGCCAAAGGCCACAACAGATTCGGAGACCACCCTTTGGCAGGGAAGGCAGTTCTGTGTTGGCTGTACATCACAAATGCTCTCTAGATCCAGGGCTCTGGCTGGTTATGTGCTGGCAGCTCATTGGGTCTCTGTTGTGAAGATACCAAAAAATCCAAGAAAATTTGAAACTGTGTCCACAATAGCTTTCTTCCTTGTCCAGTTAACTTTAAAACTGGATGCTCCATTTTTCCATAAGCTCTCATAGTCCTTGAGAGCAATTATTATATTAAAGGATGAAGGAAGTTATTTCTTACTGGGTTCATTGCATGCATGATTACTTCCAAGGCAAATTAAATTTAAGAATATAACACCAATGCCATTTTCCTAAAATGCTACTAGTGTCCTATCCTGAAAATGGGAAATCAAAGGCTTTAAAACAGACTTGGAACAC